ATCTATCTATCTATCTATCTATCTATCTATCTATCTATCTATCTATCTATCTATCATCTATCTTTTTTTTTAACGAGCACCCTGTGGTAATGGTTAGTTGGCTGTGTGCATTCAAAAAGTAAACGTTTAAAGAAATAAAGAACTAGCAGCCAGCCTTATCTCTGATTGTGGATGGCTTGTGGAGAATTGATAAAAAGAAACCAGATCCCAAACACTGAAAAACGGGACCGAGACTCGTCTTCCTGCGTCCTTCCTATCGAATGTTAAAGCCCGGGAGGCTCGAGGGGTTCCAGAAGAGGGCTTTGTGTTGGACTCCAGACCAAGCAGTTGGGCCGTGGGCCGCGGGCAGAAGCCCCGTGTTCCCCATTCACCTGCAGACTGGCAGCATTTTTGGAAGTCGTAAATCAAGTAATGCTTGCAAGGAACCCCCCCTTTCATTTGAAGATCTGTCATTGCTGCCCCAGGTAACATACGCATAACAGAGTTGTAAACACTATTTCCCAAGCAAATCTGGAAATATACTAAAATTGGAGAGGGAGACAATGTTAAGCTTCAGTTAGCATATTTATTATTTTCAGTTAACTCTTTCATTTGAACGCACCGGTTTTCTGGCTTCAACCGTTCCGCGGCTTCATAGCCAGCTGCTCCTGGGATCATCCCTGAGGCTGTTTCCTGACTTTGCCCTTGTTTCCTTCGGGGGGGGGTGGAGGAGAAGCTGGCCCTGAGTGCTGCTGCTGCTGCTGCTGCTGCTGCTGCTGGAACCGCAGCTCTGTTCTCAGAGGGCAGAAAGGGTGGTCGGTTCCTGCCCACCCCACCAGGCCCCCAGCAAACGCCCTCGGGGAGCCTCACAGGGCCTTCCTCCTGGGAGCCCACCTTGCCCTCAGAGCCTGGTCTGGAGAGAGGTTTATTCTGCAGATGTTGAGCTCGGTGGCGAAGGCTCTTGCTTTCTGATAGAAGAAGAGGGACATCTCCCGGTCCACGAGGAAATTGTGGTAAATTATGGCAAGTCTCGTGTAAATCTTCAGCTGCGCCTTTTTGTTCCCCAAGTCCATGGCAGCAGCCAGGGCCAGATTATAGTATCCTGCAGCGTCGAAAGGATCCTGAAACATCAAGCAATAGAGGGACTGTTGTTACTTTCTTAAAAATGGAAACCGGCTGGACGGTAAGTAGAAGCGTCGGAAAATAATGAGGGCCGCTGAGAGACGAGGCCGACACCGCCGTGACTAAAGGATGAAGCAGGCGCCCGAACAGAGAAGACCCAAAGCCAGGACTCGGGTCTGAAAGATCCTGGGGCGGGGGGGGAGATAAGAAGGAAAGAAGCATTAAGGAAACAAAGGAAAAAGCGTCACCGAACCAGGAAAGGGAAGTTGGGCCTGAGCACAAGGACCCCCCCAAATCCCATCCAGAGCTACCAGACCTGTAAATTAACAAGGCAAGAGTAGCTGCCCCTCTTGTGACTCAGCAAAGCAAGGACTTTGGGGGATAAAGGGGGCCCTGGAGCCCACCCACCCCTCTGGCTAGCGCCTGGCAGCCCAGCTGAGGAGGATGTGGGTCAGTGCGGATGAGTGTGTGTGTGTGCACATGTGTGCGAGGAGGAGTGGATGTACACGGTACCCAGTCAGGTCCTGCTGTCCTTTAACTTTACTGGGGCTCCGTGGATCCCAAAGGACCTGACGTGCCTCCGCGTTCGGTGGGAAGTGACTTGCGTGCCTCCCTAATTCTTTCCCGGCTGCTGGCCAGGGCTGTGCGCCTCGCCTGCCCCAGCCGCCCTGATCTGGAAAACCCAGGCAGAAAGCAGGGGGGCCTGCGAGGTCCGCGTGCCCCAACGGACCGTGAGCGCGCGACTGAGCGGCCCTAAGCCGAGCCCGGGAGCCATACAGCCCGGCAGCGCCCGATCCGCCTCTTTGCTGCTCTATTGCTGGCTCGGCTCCGCTCGGTGAATCTTGCCCAGCTCAAGCAAGCAAAAGGACGCCGTCGTGGTGGAAAAGGCTGGTTCTTTAGGGACCCACACATCCCCACAACCCCAACCTCAACACTGCAAAGCATCGCATTGTTTTGGTGGAACACCCACAGCCTCCCCCCTCCCCATTTGCCCCTGAGATTCGGCAGTGGTGGCAAACCTCAGTTAGGGCCAACGTTTCAAGAAAGGGCGGGGTGGCTTTCGCTGCCCGCCCTCCCGCTGCCAGGAAGGGGGCAGATGGTGGGCGGTTTCTGCTGCCGCCACCTCCTCAGCCACCCCATTCCATGACCTAACCCCTGCCTGATCTCCCTGGCCTGGCCTCGCCCCTCGTCCGCCTGCCATCGGTCACTCCAGCAGCCCTAGGTCTTCGGGACCGGCCACCGCTTTCTTCCCGTTTTCCAACCGTTTTCTTCCCGAGTCTCGACTCTGCAGCTGGCTTCTGTTTGGGGTGACAGGGAGTGACAACGGGCCAGGCCTCCTCCCACGCCTGGCTTCCCAAGCAGTGACAGGGAGACGGGAAGCTTCACGAGCCTGCAGAGAACAGCTAAGAAGGCAGAGCATGCAGGAGGGTGTGTGTGTGTGTGTGTGTGTGTGTGTGTGTGAGAGAGAGAGAGAGAGAGAAAGAGAGAGGTGTGCAATAACAAGCATCGATGGAATGGGGGTTGCGCATTCCCTCATCCAAAATTAGGAGCCTTTTCTTTCTACAACAACATTTTGCACCTTTGAATTGCTTGCAGGAGACTGTAGACTGAACGCTGTAACTTGCTGCCTCTAACAACGCACAAGTTCTTCAAAATAAGGGGCCGACGCCTTCTTCACGGGGGAAGAAAGAGGCAGCAGTCACTGGGGGAGGTATCATTGAAAAAAGATCATAGCCCAATCCTGATCCTCTAAATCAGCAAGGTCAGCGGTTGTAGATCACAGGGGCTGTAGACCAACCTCTGGTGAGCTTTGCGTGGTTGATCTCTGCCTTTCTGGTAAGATGATCCAATTTATTTTGTGCGAACCATGGCAAAAGCCATACTTCACTTGGGTTGGACGGGACCTTGCTTATCTGAAACCAGCCCCGCTTCTTCTTCCCTTCTATTCCTGTCTCTTTCCTAAGTAAACACTCCAGATCCAGGTGAAGCAAAATGGATCTTCCGTCTTCAGGTTTTAATTCCACCTGACTGTCTTACCTTCAGATCATAGAAGGTGATGTCTCCCAGGAGAAGGTAAACTTTGACGTAATAGAGGGCTTCCTCATCAAACTCAAGAGGGGAGGGACACAGGGAAACTGCTTTTAGGAAGAAATGCTCAGCGAGTTCGCACTGCCCCAAGTGATGGTGGATGACTGCCAGGCGGTGATAGGCCACTCGTTCACTTAACTGATCTCCTAGTGAAGGAAGCACAGAAAGAGCCAGCCATGAGAGAAAGAAGGACAGCAGATAGTAGGTGCCTTCAGGGGAGCACACCAAGGACCTGGGAGTGAGCATCAGGCCACAAAATATGCCAGCGGGGAGAACTTTAGTCTCTCCTTGACACAGAATTTGGCTCTTTGCTGGTGCTCCGATACCGTGCTTTGACACTGCATTAAAATTCATTAAAATTCCTGGGGGGTAGCCACCATGTTTTCTTTTACACAGCATTTCTGAGAATGGCACACAGCATAATTTCCCAGAGCGGTTTGCATGCCTGGCAGAATTCTAGCTGCCGAACAGTTTTAGAAGCCTCAAGAAACTGTGGCCCTCTAGACGTTGCTTCAAGTGGGACACGCGGCTGGGCTGTGTAGAGCTGGGGACCAGCAACATCTGGAGCACTGAAGGAAAGACCGTCTCCAATTAATACCGAATATAAATAAAACAACAATCACAAAACCTAAAATCCCCAAGTTTGAATTTTTTGATCTATCCATGAAGATTCCGTAAAGACGCTATGAATCTGTGGAAGGCATGTGACTGACAGAGATTTATCCTTGGTTTTGTTAGAAACTACAGTTGGAATCAAAAGATGGGGATATCTCTTGCTCAGTCTCTGTGTGTTAATTTCACCTGCTCCCTTTATAAATATGCTAAGCTTCAGAGGGTCGTTTCAGCAGGTGGAGGCCATTGATTTGGGGGTGCGGGAGGTCTTTGCCCAGCTTTGGCTGCGTGCCAATTGTGGGCCTTTTTAGACCGGGATGCTCTGATGACAGTGAAAAATCGTGACAATTAGACAATGTCAGCACATTCTACTTCATTGGTCCAAACTATAGTAGCTTGGCTGCCAGTGAGGACAGCAGAACAAGCAACGGGACACTGACGCTACGGTCACTGTGTTGCTACCAGGATCAATCCCAAGCTGTTACCTACAAGGCCCTGCAAGACCTACAATGATGTGTCTCACCTCCCAGGGGCTTCCAGGACTGTCTCTCCCAGCAAGACGCGGGCCCTTCTTTTAGGGGCCCCACCCCATCTGAAGTGAAGGGGAGGATGCTAACCCTGCAGTCTGGAAGGCCCTGGGCCTTCTGGCCTTCGCCTTTGGTCACTTTGCAACATTTGGGTGTGACCGGTGGCAAAGTTGGGGATTTTGGGGCATCCTGATGTTATTGTAAACCACCTAGAGTCCTGTGGAGCAGGCAGCATTCAAATGGTCGTATACATAAATAAAACCATCACTAAGAGCGGTTGCATGCTAGTGCTGCAATGGGGCTTGCTCCACCCCTTTTTAAGTCTTCCATCCCTTTAGTTCTTCAAAGAGATTTCCGCTAGAAGAGCTTTCTGCAAGATTTGGGGGCAGGAATCTTCCGTTACAAGTCTGTAAAAGCCCACAGCTGACTCCCGGTAATCCTTTGCCTTTGCAACTAGCTCCCAGCCTTGCTCTGCCCTTCTCTGATTTCTCCTTCCAGACCCTCACTGCCCAAACACTGATGATTCTTGCTCCTACTGTACTTGGGGTGGTGGATACTTACCTAACAACCAGACCGTGGATGTCTGCAGGCGTGGTCCCATAAAAAGCAAGTGAAGCTTTGATCGTAGCACAGTGGCCACCGTACTGACATTTTTGACCCCACCCTGCAGGCACCCTGGACAAGGCTGTCAATCACAGGATTCAGCACTCTTTCCTCCCTTTTCCACCATGTGCACCTAAGAAGCATTTTTACAGACTGCACTAAATAATGATGCACGAGGTCAACTATAAATCTCTCTGTATACAACTTTGAATCATTCCCAAGTGACTTTTAGAAATGCAGTAGACAGGTTTACCTAAATTGACACTGAGCATTAAGGATGTTTGGGCGTATCCTAGACATTCATCATACTTCTGTAAGGTTAAGAACAACCCAACCAACTTGTTGAAGAGCCGAAGTTCAGCGCTGCTGTTTTTAGCTTTCACAGCAAGTGGTAGAGCCTTGTCCTAAAATAAGAGCAAGAACAAGAACAAAACAGGGCGTCTTGCACAGTGTAACGTCCCAAAGATGCCACCCAGCTTTATCTGTCCTACTAAAGGAGTTCCGTGGGGATGGCGAAGAGGCGATACGCACCCTGTAGAAGGGCGCTGCTCTTTCCTTTTCCCAGTCTCCGTTGAAAAAGATGTCTCCTGAAGCTTCAAGCATTTCCATTTCTAAATTAGGATCCCGAGTACACAGAGCAGCATTGTGAGCAACCTAGAAGGAAAAACCTATTCTGCAATACTGAGCAATACAAACAGTAACATTTCCAACAGAAGCGCTACACAACTAAAAACTATTTTTAATTCACTTTCCTCTTTTTCAATGTTCCATGAATAGACATTATGGAATTAGAACTGCTGCTAGCCACCTCTGCCTAATATCACATTTTACATTTGAATAAGAAGTGGGTCATTTCCTCTTTAGTGATCTAGCAGATCTTCTAGAATTATCCAAAATAACAGCCATGAGGACAGGCTTTCCATCACTTCAGCCAAGGCCTGGTGATGCCTTGAGGATCCTAAAGTCACTACAGAGGAGATGGTCTAGGGCAGGGTTTCTCAACCTTGGCAACTTTAAGAAGTGTGGATTTCAACTCTGAAGACCAAGCTTCCAGGAATTCCCTCGCATTTTTGGATTTAGCTTGGTCTAAAATGCTGAGAGTTTCCCAGTTGAAACTATGTTTCAGACTGTCCATGTGTTGTGAGATTAAGGAGTTTTCATTGTGTCTTCTGACTGCTAGTTGGTGCTCATCGATGTGCTCTGCTAGCCTTCTGCCTGTCTCTCCTACATTTTGAGGACAGAGCAGCCCTCAAAAGCCCGAGGAAGGACCAAACCATCATCATCCTCCCAGCAAAGGCCGAACCACAGTTATTATGGATAAATCACAATACTTGCAAAAAGCCAAAAAGTTATTAGAGGACAAAGAAACCTACATCCCAGTTAACACCAACCCAATACAGACATCTTACCTGGATATAAACATCGACCAGCTCGTTCTCCCTCAGCGCATAATATATCTTTCCTGCCTGAAGCCACGCCTGCGCTTCCTTATCTTTGGCTTGAAGATCAATGAATATCCCGAGGCTTCTCTTGAGATAGTCCAGGGCGGACCGGCATGCCCTGAAGGAGAAGGAGAAGGAGAAGGAGAAGGAGAAGGAGAAGGAGAAGGAGAAGGAGAAGG